CCCCCCCTCAAAATAAAATAGTTTTAACTTCATGGAATCCTAAAAGGGCTCAATTCAAAAAGCCTGCCCTTACCCCACATTTGAGGCCTCATCAGAAGCTGATACACCACATTTCAAGCTTCTCAGGGTACTATGCTGAAAATGTCTCTTTCTTTTCCATCTGGCTTTTCTTTTTTTTTCATCCAGATCCTACTATGGCAGCATATACATTCTTAATTGCTTTCTAAGGCATGTTTGCTATTTTTTGGTTGATAATTTCTCTTATGTTTCAATTGGTATTACCTACCAAGAACTTTGAGACACTTTTATTGGGAGCTGGATGAGTTTTGGCTTTTTTGAACAAAAGGATCTAGTTTTCATTGGTATCTTAACCTTTCTAATTTTGTGTCTAGTAAAGAGGCATTTAGGTCAGGACGGTAGACCAAAGTCTTGTTAATATGTGATTACTGCTCATGTCAGTTGGCAAATTCCCCTGGTTCCTTCCATGTATCTCCAGCTGTCCCTTCCCAGTGACTCGCTGACTCTGCTAGTGTTTTCAGCTGGTCTTTCTATTTCATATACTGTGTCTAGAGTAATCTTCCTGAAGCAAATGCTTTAATCGTCACTGGCAGATTTATATTTTAATTTGTCTTATCACAGTGATTTAAAAATCCTTTGTGAAGCCTGCTGCAAATCCCAGAAATGATCAGCTTATTAACCAAGACCTGTCAGGTGAAACGTTTCAGTCTCCTTTCATAACGAAGGACATCAACCAGAGTGTAACAAGTTTAGAGGCAGTCCTCAGTTACTCTCCGCATGAGACTGGATTTCTAAGCTAAGCTCTGTCTCTGGTCACGGGGGACATGGAACCTCTAAGGACAGAAAACTGAGTCTGCTGCCTTCTTCAGTGCCATTGCCTCTGCCTTACCCTCCATGCTCATGTTTGACCCGACAGCTGGCAATATTATTGCTTATTCCTCTATGATATATATCATCTGCATCCACTTACCTGCATCCAGCAACACAGGACCAAGAGAAAGTACTCACTTAGGAACGTTGCCTTCTAACACTATGGGAGCTCAGTCAAGTTTTCAAAGTCTGGACCTGCACCTGATTAATTGGCTGTGTGACAATTTCCTGATTCAAGGAAGGGAAGAAGTCGTAGTGATTTAACTGATATAAAAGTGCCTGGGCTAGGGCCTTCTGTGCTGTTTCTTCCTTTCTCCTCATCAATCATCATGGTTACATTTTCTCAGTTTGATCTGAGGCCACTTCAGCAAATCCTTCCCAGGCCACCCTGTTTGCTAACTTCACATTCTCTTACTTCCCAGTTAATTCTCCTGGCATTCAGCAACACCCTTTATCTTTTCTGTGGTCTTCTTGTGTCATGAGAAGACAAACTCTGTGAGGGCAGAAAGTCTCAGTCTGTTCATAGCTGCATCTGCAGTGCTTGGCAGTGTTTGGCAGTGGGTAGGAGTTCAGGAACCATTTGTTGGGTAAGTGTTTATAAAGGTAGCGTAAGGATAGCGAGATGGTTCAGTGGGTCAAGGTGACTACTGCCAAGCATGATAACAGTTCCATCCCTAGGATACAGTGAGTAGGAAGAAACAACCTCTAGTTGTACACTGACCTCATGTGCGCCTTGTCACTGGGTCATAGTGCAGGGTGTGAGCATAAGCATACACACGTGCACGTGTACACACACACACACACAAGTACTTTTAAAAGACAAACACAATATTGCAAACGAACATTTTTATTTAAAACTCTGGATAATGTAGAAAAATAGCTTTAATTACATACAGAAATAAAACTCTCCATAATTAAATTAGTTCATACGGTTTGGTGTGTAGGTTCAAGTTTTAACAGAACTTACCATTTCAAGAAAAATTCCAAAATATAAATCCTTATTCTCAAAACTATAGCGCTTAGTAATTTTCGAAGGTTACTGCTGTCATGTTGTGCAGTAATGGGTATGACTTAACTGTACCCTTCTGGTTCTCAGACAGTGGCCACTTATTGATGATAAATGGTACCCACAGCTTACGCTTCATAGTTGGTTAAGGCAGACAAAACTTAGTAGACTGGGTTCTCGGTCTTTTCAACTTGTGTCAAAAATATTTAAAAGAGATTATTTTACCATAACCATTTTGTTAGGTATTTATCATCATCTATAGTCCTTGGCACAAAAAGTGTACCCTCCTAGGTACAGTTCTCTGACAAGACAGAAACAAAGAAAGCTACGGAAAGAGAGGAGAGAGAGAAGAGGAAAAGAAAAAGCAAGAGTCTAGAGTTTCTTTGGGACTAAGAAGCACGAGATAGTAGTAAAGTGTTTGTAATTTATTGTTAGTTACAGACAGGGTCTTGTTATGTAGCCCGGCCTGCCCTCTGCCTCAGCTTCCTGAATACTGAACTCCAGGCATGTGCCACCAAGCCAGACATAACAGTTCTAAGCATGTTAGGCAGACAATGCATTTTACTTTCATACAGTAATGTTCCTTAGTACCAGGATGTGAACACAACCTGACTCACGGAGGGTTCTCTGAAGGCCATCATTATGGGATCTGTACTTGATACTTTGTTCCCTCCCTGAAAACCAGGCAGACAGGAACTCAGCTGAACAATCAAACTGATTGACTTTCAGATGTGAGTCAGACATGTTATTTACAGACATGATCAGCTAAGTTTGTCTTCAATATTCACTTGGAAATGAAAAGAAGACAATACTCATTCCTTAAAAATGCAATGTCTCTTCAACATGGAGTTATGGTGCACATGGATTATACTGCCAATGGCCCATCTTTCACATCTGTGCTGTGTTTGTCTTTTACATCACATTTTGAATAGTGTGCTCATGGCTATCTGACCCAAAGAAAGCACCAACAGATCAAAATTTAAATGGAATAAAAGTTTCCTCTATTAAAATCCCAAGTCTTAGTTTGTTCTGTTTGAACATCTGAGGTGATTAACAGTTCCATTCATCATAATGATCAGCACTAGAAGCAGCTCAGGACTTGAGGGTATATCCAGAAATTCAAGACATTTAATAAATACAGTTTTAGAAATGCTGGAACACATATATCCACACACAGGCAGTCTACGACAGAAGAGAGTCTTAACTAATTTGATTCAGTTAAGTGGAGAAATATTTCAAAGTGTTTTCTACATTTTAAGGTGCCTAATTTTCTTATCCGACTTGAAAGCTGATATTAAGGCCCAGAAGTCACTGGTGATATAAACAGCTGGTATCTGTCACCCATGCCTTGATGAGAATCTTTCACTGATGACTGAGGTAACAGTATTTTTTATAAGACCAAATGGATCAGGGATGACTCATATGTTTTCTAGTTTTAAGCTGGAAGGCTCATGTTTGAGGGAGGGAAAATGTAGGGATGAACTTTAGACAGGCTTTAGATAGCTTGCCTTCCAACATATACAATCCCTGAAGGAGAAATTACCTAGGACTGTAAACTGTGGGAGGATATTGAGCCTCTGGATGTCCATCTGGGTAGATGGCAATAATAAATTTAGCATTTACTATACTTTTCAACACATCAAATTCTCACAGCCAAAGAAAATCTGTACTGCTGAAGCCCACATCAGTTACAGTCAAGGAAAGCAAACCCACTCCTTTGGGAAAACCCAATACAGACTGATACCAACAAAAATTAGTATTTTATGCAAAAAGTTACATATGGTAGGTAGCTTTAGCCTGGTTTCCCCCCAGTGTTTTAAAAAAGGATTGTATTTTCTAACTGTATGTGTGGGTACCTGCAAAAGCCAAAGGATTCCCTGAAGTTACAGGTGGTTTTGAGCTGCCTAATGTGGGTGCTGGGAGCTGAACTGAGGTCTCTTCCAATGAGGTACTTGTTCCTGACCTCCAGCCCCCCTTCAGTGTTTTTAAAATGATCTGATAGAGTTGATATAAATGTATGTGAACCAGAAAGAAAGCTATGGAAGTTTACAGATGATTGCCAATACGTATCCTAACCCAAATAAAGTTTACCAAAAAGAATAAAGAGAATCAAATAAATATAAATTAACTTTAACTGTCATCCTTCCCCTCTGCCTCTGTAGTGGGGTATCTACTAAAATACTTAAACCAATGCAGAGGCTTTTGATTTCCTAAGAAACCAGAACACAGGTATTGTAAATTTAGATACTGACCAATAAGCAAACAGCACATTTTTCATAATTGGGCATTTCAGAATCCTAATGCAGTAATAATGTGATTACTTCCCATGTACTCTGAGGTCTAACTGATGCAAAGGCTCGCTCACAACACAGCACTGACTACAGAAGCTTGTCATCCCTTCAAGTCATGCTTCCTTTACCAGGTGTCAGTCAGTCAGTATTGGGCTTTATGAAAACAAACAGTAATTCAAATATGACCCCCCAATTAAACATTTCCTATATTAATTTTTATTAAAGAATTCACATTATTTAAAACTATTCAATAAATTAACATGGTATACCAAAATGGCAATAAATTAGCAATCTTGTCTCTATATTTTGATCGAGCATCAGCTCAGATGTCTTATATAATACCACACAGGAACTGATGCACCAACCCAATAGCACTGCATCTCAGTATTTAACAAGGACAGTACTGAACAGTGACTGCACTGAGCTTTATCTCTGTATGATGATTTCGGCCATTCTGATGCTGTCCTGTGGTCCATCTGCGTGTCACTTTGTGTCTTTCAAACACAGCTACAACGTTAACCCAAAGAACAATTTAAATGCCATTTCAATGGCAATTTCTGAGACTGAGTCGTGAAAACAGACATATAGTTCCTGAGGTTTTGGGTCAAGGAAGAGCCTCCTGCAGAAAGAAAAAAAACATGGTCATTTCAGATATTAAGGGTGATAACAATCCCTTCTGTTTGTTTTCTTTCAGTTTTGGTAGAATCAGTAAAAAACTGAAAACAAAACCAAAAAACACCACTGCCATCAAAAACTCATGAGTCTAAATCTACAGAAAATAGAATACAGCCCACTTTTTAAATAAATATGTCTTAATGTTATTGTCTTAGAGTGTAGGAACTCCTATCCATGCCCATTACTGTGCCTCTCAGTCCTGAATATTAAACCTGTTTATTACCATCTAGGCAATACTGCCCATATCATTTTAAGCACAGTAGCCATTAAATATTCTATTGGCACTTATATTTTAAACTGCTCTATTGTTGTTAAAACATTGTAACAGTGACAACTCATTTGCAAATAAAATTGGGCAAATGCTATATTTCTCTTCTTCGGGATTCCTATAGTATGGCTGTATAGTCTAATCTATTATGTGTACATATACATATTCATATTTACATATGAATATATAGATATATGTCAACATTGCATCTATAACACACAGTGAGTGTATGTATTTCAGACTTCCTCTGTAGGATGTAAGGCTTAGGGATGATGACTTCCTCTGCCTCTGGTTCACCGAGCTACTCACTCATCCATCCATTTGTCCAATGCAACTCCATCTACTACACTTTCATATTTTATCAAGTTGCTATTGAGTGCCAGGGCCAACTACAGACAGAAATCAATAGCAGGAAAGACAAGTAGGAATCCTGATTTCATGCGGCTGGCATTCTTGTCTCTGCACCAAGGCACTAGACAAGAAAGCCAGTAGGCAAACCCCGTCCAAAAAAGTAAAGTGGGCAGTGCAGAGAAAGGCAGAGTGCTGCTTCAGTGCGGGAAGGAAGCTCTTCATGGGTCCTTTTGAGAAGATAACCTGTTAGTGTTGATGGATGTAAAGGGGGGGCCCTCTACAGAAAGAACAGAGAAACAGCTGCCCAGTGGCAATGAGGCTGGCCCACAGTGGACAGGCAGAGTGACACAGACAGAAGGGTCTTGAAGGAGTGCATGGGAGTGAGGAATAAATGAAGAGGGAAAGGAGATAAAGGATTAGTGATTTGAGGAGGTCTCTGAGCAGCCTTGATCCTGATTGTTCGTGTTCTCTCTCTCTCTCTCTCTCTCTCTCTCTCTCTCTCTCTCTCTCTCTCTCTCTCTCTCCCCCTCTCCCTCTCCCTCTCCCTCTCCCTCTCTCCCTCTTTCTCTCTTCTATCCTCCATCCTCTCTCTCTCTCCCTCTCT